AGTGGCGGAGCTTGATGATAGAGAGGGGAGGTGACCATAGGCACGGTCGAAGAGGAAGGTCTTCAAGTGTGTCCTCGTGACTGGCCTTCTGCACGCACGCCCATTGACGCCACTGATTATGCGATTGGTGTCGTCACCGTGCAGAGATGGGCCTAGCAGCCCGACCCTGACTTACCACCTTACAACAGGGTCATCCTGTCACTCGATATTTAAGACTTACATTAAAAGAAATACTGCCTTCACTGAAGAGTGAACTTTCGCAGAATAACTTCTTTTGCGTGGTTTGCGAAGCAGTCAGAAGTTAACGTGAGAAATGTAATCAGGACAGTGGGGTTTAAAAATCACTGAGGTTCATATCGCTAACATTATTAATAATAATAATAATCCTTGCATTTGATATAGCGCTTTTCATGTCTTCTAGACATCTCAAAGCGCTTCACAGAATATGCTGTAAAATGAATTGACTGGATATTTGTGGGCGAAACTCGGCAGCCAATTGCGCACAGCAGTGTCCCACAAACAGTCATGGATTGAAAATGACCAACTTATTATTGTTTTGTTTTGGAGGGATTATTATTAGGCGTGTGGAGTAAGGAAACTTGCCCAAGGTTTCGCTCTGCCTGGAATTGAACCCAGGTGTCTCGCTTGCAAGGCGAGTGCTCTAACCACTGAGCTGCAGGACTCCACAATGAATGACTCATCACTGGAAAAGTACCTTCAACAAATGATACTTTTATAATCCCCTCCCACCCCCCAAACCACAGACCACAGACAAACACCCGCCACACCCCCCCACAAGCCCCTGTACATCACTTGCACAAGCTGGATGTCAGACCCAAAGAGACCTTATGTTGCAGCCAAAGTTTTGGAATCAGGAGTGACTTAAAGGGGAGTGTCATTACTGAAAGTGGAGCTTGTGTCAGGAGACATTTTTTCTGGTGCTCACCATTTTGGAAAAGATCTGGGTAGAGCTTGTAAGCCATGCATTTTTTCACCGAGATAACCACCTTTAAGAAAGAAGGACACATTGGGAGTTTGAAAGAACCATAAGCACTGCAACTTCATCCTGTTGTTTGCTCAGGTTCTGGATGTGTTTTCTTGGCACACATGAGCATGTTTAGTCAGGTGTTCCCTTTGTTCCCACTGCATTAAGAAGAAAGTCATTCCTCAATTACAAAACATCATTCAACTTACTCAATAACTGGCTTGAGGCTTTATCTGCCAACAAAAGCGAACCGACTGTGTATGAAAAACTGCCTTTCGCACAGTATGTTTTCCAGTCTCAAATCCCATTTTAGCTTCTCTGAGGCTTTCAAAATACAGCATGTGCGTCTCAGTTACTTAAGCCATTTTGCTTTATAGCAGATTCATTACAAAACTATTTGGTCAGCTGAGAGATTTGAATCGAATATCTTGTAACAAAAACTTAAAGAGATATGAAAATTTGACTTTTACTACAAGGGCTTGTCTTACCGCAGAGACGTTAGCAGGTCAAAAGGAACTGGCTGCAAAAATGTTAATTTATCCCGCACAGCAGCAACACTGGTGGCAAAGTGTTGATTCACTGGAGTGTTTTTAAGGTCCTGACTTCAATCGTCACGTATTGTTCCACTTTGGGTGGTTGTGTCTTGTGTATCTGAATGTGTAAAATCTCACAAGGTGTAATGGAGAAACGGACTGAATAAAACTCAACTAGCTTGCCGCTGAAGTCCTGCTGAACTCATAAAACCTTAAAACACCTACGAGGTTCAGCTTCCCTCCGGCCCTCCCCTTCCCACCAAAAGAACCTGAAAAAACAAAGAGCTAAACAGTTCACAACAGTGCTCCCATTCTGCAGGTCTCACAGTGGTGTCACTTTCTCCTCTTGTATTATGCTGCTGTTCCACTGTGGTTAAGGTGGCTTTAAATGTGGTGCCAAACTGGAGGAATTCCAAGCTTCCAGGAATTTACATTGTCTGCTGAAGAGCACTGGGAGCAAATGATGCGTGTAACACGCTGCCATCCTTGTGTAAATGATCCGATGCCATCAACAACAACAAACAACAACTTGCATTTATATGGCGCCCTTCATGTGGGGTAGCGTCTCGGACCGTCAGACATTCATGCATTCGTGAAGCATCATTGGACATTTAGTGCTGGCTTCTCCACTGCGCAAATAGAGATAACAGGGGCCTGGGAGATGAACCTGGGATGTCAAGCGACTTTGCTCCCGGCCTCTTTCTTATTTGGGTGGCCGAGGTGGCAAAAATTTATTTCTAATGTTACGCACATGAGTGAACGTCATGGATGAAAGGCAATTGGGGAGCGAAGGGGAGGTCTGACTCACAAAGTCGGCACACATGTTGTTTATTCTCACTTATCTCCAAAGGTGGTCTTGGCGCAAGAAGCAAACAGATTGTGAAATCAGCAGATCTTAAGTGCAGCAGCAGAGCAACAATTTGCATTTACCATTCACGGAGGTAGGATACGTCTCAGAGCACAGGGTCGATGGTGTTAGGGGAGGTGACCGCAAACAAGGTAGGTTTTAGGCAGCGTTTAAAGACAGAGAAAGTGGGGATGAGGTGGAGGGGCAGACGATGAGAATCCTAAAGTGCAGGGGTATAGATGATGAAGGCTCAGCCACTGATGGCGGAAAGGAAAAGATGGGGGACTCGCAGCAGTCTCGAGTTTACCTACCAGAGGGGGTTTCTGCAGATGTTAAAAATATGTGGAAACATCGGTTCTTGCAAAACAGTCTACAAAGAAGCAGGTTCCAACAATACTTTTGAAAGTTTTTCCCCAAAGAAGAAATGTGTCTCTAGGCTAATAACAGAAAGTTCACCTCTTGGGCTGGAGCAGAACACAACTGAATGAAGATGCAGATCATCAGCACACATTGTAACAATACCCACAAAACATTTCTACCATTGACATTGATCGGGGCTGATGCTGCACTGACAAGCTCAATAATATATTTGAAATACCTGTTTTATATAGGCTACAAAACTAAATCAAGCATCCACAACAGTATAAAAATTGCAGCCAAAAACCACAGTCATCGCTCAATGCGTTGTAATTTAAGGTGTTCTCCAGTTAATAACTCCACAACAACTCCCTAAAACACAAGGTAAGGCTTTATTACAAATTCAGCCAAGCATTTGACACTATCTTGGCAAGGTGCAAAGTTAGCTCGGATCAAAGTGCCCTTCACTTATCCACAGGTCACAAATATTTCACACAAAGGCATTTCCACAACTCATCCCTATGTCTGAGGCAGCAGAGCATGTACTTGAATTTGAAAGCATTTATTTTAACCTTGCCCTCCTCAATACTACAAAGACAGCTTTTGTTTTCCCCTGTAAGACAATTGCTGATTTGACTGCGTAAGTACACGTACCTTTATTCTACTGACTCAAGTCTCCTTCACTTTAAATGGTCATCTTGAATCGATTGCAGATTGTAAAAAAAAGAAACCATTTGTTCTTGCAAAACCGTCTGCAAAGAAGCAGGTTCCAACAATAACTTTGGGAGTTTTCCCTCAGAAGAAATACTTCTCTCAGCTTAAAACAGCGGTAGAAAAATCACTTAAGCCAGAGTGCAAAAGAACGTCTGTCTCTGCTGCTTATCAGACGTGAGGAACAAACACTGGGCAGGATGAAATGATATGTTTAAGGTCTGGAAGTAGCTACAAGGCCACACCTAAAATCCATTGCTGAGCGTATGAAAAAAGAGCGTGAGCTGTGATTGCTCCACATGTTTGTATCTGGCAAGAAGTCTCGGTGCATGCAATGTAGCAGAGAGCTCACCGACCAGACTATCCACTTGGGAGCTCAGTACACATTGAGGTAATCACTTTCAAATCCAATGGAAATTAAACCTGTGTCTCAGAAACAAAGTGCCAGTGCATTATTACAAGGGGCCTTTCACAAAGGAATTTTAAATGACCTTTATTAAACTTAATAAAAAATTTCAACCCATTTAGTCTGGCTAAGCTTTAAAGCAAAACACACAATTTGTCTTATTTTGATAAAAATTGCAGAACTCAATTCTATCTGAGGTTGAATAAAAAAAACCAAGTACATACTTTAGAAGGACCGAGTAAAACGTAATCCACATACGTTAGCATTCTAGCTAAATGCTACAAAGTCTGGTAGCCATCATTCCACTACATCAGAACCAAAGCAGTGAGTCAAAGCACTTACAGTCCGCACAGAGTTATTGTCTAAAGCAGGAATTTTTCCCTTAGAAGAAACATGACAATTTTCAAAGTCAGCTCAGTGAAATAGAAAAGCAGAAATTGTGTGCACAGAAGAGGGTCGTTTGGCCCATTGTGTTCATGTCAATGTTACCTGTTTGTCTAAATCCCACTTTCCAATTCTCTCCCCTATACCTTAATGCTGTTGCCCACCCAGAGGGGTAAAACTCAGATAATCTTCAAAACAAAACTTTGCCACTTTCACTCAAGAAGCTGTACTTAATCCTTGTTGCCTGGGCACAGAGTCAAGCATACCCCTGTCCTTCGTGCATGTTCAGCAGTTAAACAGGTGTCTTGAGACAGCAAAGCATATAATTTGTGTGGAGTATTTGAAGGCTGTGTGTGGGAGGATTAGGGCAGCCTTCAAAACAGGATCATATTCAGCATTATGAAAGCAGAGAGGAAAACATTTTGTTAAAAAACTCCTCTCTGTGGAATAACTGCACTAGTTAATGTGGGAAGTTACACAATCCAGGTCACTTTCAAAAGACCTGCTGTCATTATCACATAAGTGGAGCCATATGCTGTTCATGTTGTTTTATTTATCTGCCGGGTGGAGAAATATCAAAGCCGAAAGGTGCTTGTGTTTGGTTTCTTTGTTAATTTACACATAAACTTGTATTTGGAGACATGCCTTGTCAGCCAACATATCCCGCAAACGTTATTAAAGTAAATGAGCCAGGCTACAGTTACTTTGTAAAAGGAGAGCCACGATACACAGATGCACCAATGAACATTGGCTTGTAACAGCAGATGTTGTACTCACCCTTAAGTCTCCATTCACAGCCCTCGAGGAATGGCTGAAGGATATGTGCGCAGGATCCTTGTGGTAAACCTTTAGAAGGGCTCTGTCCTGAATGCTCCTGGAATCAAAGATGTCAATTATTATGGAGGTGGACATACAGAATGCCAACCCTACAAAATACAGTCATTGCACCTTACAGTATATCCTGTGAACTGCTGTAAGGCTTCCTCCTGTGTGAAAGGCTATATATCAAATGTAAGGATTATTTTTATTATTTATAGGATTGTTTTCTTTTGGTGATTTTCATCAATGCAGACACACCTCATGTGCATAGAAATACACAGTCATTACATTTTAGAGTAAAATCCTATGAAGCACTTTGAGATCTCTTAACAACATGATACAACACATTATCAACTGCGAGGATCATTACATCTTTATTATTCCCACAAAAAAAAGCCATATCAGGATATGCACTTTATTATAAATTACTGACTTCCCTGTGCCAGTGGATGCAGCAATTCTATTCAATTAGTTTCTCCATCCATGAGGTCAGGTGGTCAATTGAAACCAGGACATAGGATTGTGTGGACGATTTGACACACCAAGGCAGTATTTGACGTGCAGTGAATGTTCACAGTGAGTAAATAAATACTAGCAAAGAACCACTTTGTTTATTTTTATGCGATATTGTTTATAGAGTTAAACAGGAGTGCAATAAAAAAACTTCTGCAAGTCACGTGATCAATAAATGGGGATTTTCTTATGTCACTGTGTTTGTGAACTGCACTCGTTGACACCATCACTCGCAAAGCAACAGGATCCCAAAGCTAAGAGTGTGGGTAGGACTCCAACACTTTGAATGGAAACGCACAAGCGCACTCCTCGCATAGTAATTAATATTGTTTGCGAAACAGTCGATCTCACAAACTGCCAGGGCACCCATTCTTATCGCCTGTCAAACTCATACCATACATAATACCAGTTAACAAAAGTGGTGCAATGTGTATAAACTAGTTCTGAACTGGAAGCAACAATGTGCACCAAATAACCACTGTAAAACAAAATATTTTTAAAGGGAAGCTGATAACAGTGCAAGATCACTGAATGTATTTTCTACTGAGTGCCCAAATCATGACTTTCCTTCCTAATGTTACTGCTGCCTTTTTAGGATCCATCATAGTTTTCCCCAGGAGCTTCTGCTGTGGTTTTCCCTAGGTGCTTCTCATACAGTTTCTAAGACTGCCGTGACTCACCAAATGATACCAATCATTTCAAAAAGAGACCCACAGTGACTTGTTATGAAATTACTGAAACATTGTACATCACCGTAAACAGGATACAAGCCAGTCACAGTCTAAACACTCATATCTGCCTACAAATACAATCACTACATTTTATAGTAAAATCCTGTGAAGCGCTCCAAGACACTACCAGGTGTGAAGGGCGTCAGTTGTTGTTCAGTATAAACGTCAGTTGTTGTTCAGATGTCTCGGCGATGTGATAAGGAGCTACATCAAACACAAGTGGACATTTCGCCCACAAAATATAGTCGATTTGCTTTCCAGTATGTTCTGTGAAGCTCTTTGAGACGTCTCGAAGATTCATAAGGCGCGATATCAAATGCAAAGAATAATATTTATACTTATTTTATTTATTATCACAATGGCATAAGAAGGAAGTTCCTGCTCTGTACTTTGGGAAAAAAGTAATAGACAGGATCAAAGAGAACTAAATAAACAATGACATAATCCCACGGTTCAGATGAAGTTGGATTTTGGTTTCGCTACTGAGGATGTTAATTCAATCGTTAATTTCATCACTACTTTGTAACTGCCTCTTACCTATCTATAGCTACGTACAGTAATTAATCACAGTTCATATAAGAGCTTTCAGTTAAAAGCTACAGTAAAGCAATCCCGTTACATTTAGCAACATTTAACTCACCCCGTTTGTCAGAACAGACAATAATATTAGTAATCATCTAGGAAACCGATGAAACCTTCAGTGTCCATTATGAAATAGTTCACAGCAACTTCAGAGACTGTCATTCCTCCTGCCTTTCAAGACTATTGCAACCAGAGCAAATGACTCTCTTCAAAGGTGTGTTCAACCTTAAATAAGGATTATGCAAAAAAAAGTGCAGTGGATATCTGATTATAGGCTTGCATTGCACATTCCTTCTACATCATTCATGCTGAATTAGAAGATCGCTCTCAACCTCCTGCCAGTCAGTACATGCATCTCTGTCTGCAGTAAAGTTGAAGTCAAAACTTAATACTATGAAATAGATACAATTCACGCAATATGAAAAACACTAATAAACCCCCTTCTGTTAGGAAATCAAAGGCAGATGCTACTTTGAAACTTGCCATAGGTGGACTGCGGGGGAACAGACACAACAGTTCTGCAAAATTACAGTGACAAAAAGGTCAAAGTAAAACTGTAATGATGCCTCCTAACACCCACTGAAACCCTCAACACTAGATATTTAATTTGATCTGTAGATACAGAGATGACACAAGTGCAAGTTTTACAAAATAACAATCACCACTAAATTCCCTGTAATTAAAAGAAAACAGTGGCTCCCAGCAAAAATGATGCTTTAACTCGGTGATCTTTATCAGCTCTTCCCTTCAACATCTTTTTTAAATAGCTGGTGAAATACAGTGGGACCCCACTTGAGGGTGGACCCTAACATTTATTCTCCAGATGCCTTGCAGCAAATGATGTCCACTCACTCATACATGTACATATCTGACAACAGCATATTGTGAAGTGGAGAAACATGTTGAGCTTTTGAAATCCAGACAAATTTGCAGCACTTCCCAACCATTTCAATGTAATAATTATTACAATTAAATTGCATCATAATGACTAGTCGACATATCAAACAGTGATAGTTATCATAATCAATCAGTTATATAAAATTACATGGAATGGTACAGCTCAGAAACAGGTCTTTCGGCCCAACTATTCCATTCCAAAGACTCTTCACCAAGCCTCCACCTCTATTCTCCTTTAATAATACTCCTTGCATTTGATAAAGCACTTTTCATGTCTTCTAGACATCTCAAAGCACTTCACAGAATATAATGTAAAGTGAATTTACTGTATATTTGTGGGTGAAACACAGCGGTCAATTGGCACAGCAGTGTCCCACAAACAGTCGTGGATTGAGTGACCAATTTATTATTGTTTTTTTTCTTGAGAGATTATTATCAGGCATGTGGACTAAGGAAACTTACCCAAAGTTTTGCCCTGCCAGGAATCGAACCCAGGTCTCTCTCATGCGAGGCGAGTGCTCTAACCACTGAGCTACAGGACTCCACATGAGCTACAGGACTCCTAACCTATGATATTCTCCCTCATATACACATCCAAGTTTCCTTTTAAATATTTTGATGCTTTCTGCTTCAAGCACAGATTCCAGCAGTGAGTTCCACATTCTTAACACCCACTGACCCTTTGAAGAAGTCTGTGTTATTACTCTTAAATTCACATTCCCCTTATCATAATAATCTTTGCATTTGTTACTGCACCTATAACATTGGAAGGTCTCCAAATGCTTCAGAGTTTTTCTGGAAAAGTGTATTGACTGGATATTGTAGGTGAACATGGTAGCCAATTTGAGCACAGCAATGTTCCACAAACAGCCATGAAATGGTTAAGCAATTTTATCTAGAGGTTTGTTGGTCAACATGCCATTCTTTTTGAATCAGAACATGGCGCCTCAGTTTTACATAACGTAACATACCACAATTTTATCCAGAGGTTTGATATCTGACAGGTTGGACCGACAGCACTGCATCAGAGTGTCACCTTTGACCATGAGCTCAAAGTCCTGTGGAGTCCTGTGGCTCAGTGGTTAGAGCACTCGCTTTGCAAGCGAGAGACCTGAGTTCAATTCCAGGCAGGGCGAAACCTTGGGCAAGTTTCCTTACTCCACACGCCTAATAATAATCCCTCCAAAAACCAAAAACAATAATAAATTGGTCATTTTCAATCTACGACTGTTTGTGGGACATTGCTGTGCGCAATTGGCTGCCGCGTTCGCCCACAAATATACAGTCAATTCACTTTACAGTGTGTTCTGTGAAGCGCTTTGGGACGTCCTCCTGACGTGAAAAGCGCTATATCAAATGCAAGGATTATTATTATATTACTATTATTATTATAAGTCCCAGTGTGGGTCTTCAACCCACCCACAGAGACAAGAGTGCTACCAACTGAGCTAGGCTGACATCTTTCTCCAACACATTTCATATGATATTATCCTAACTGGGACCCATTCTATTATCTTCTAATGCTAGTGCTCTTTTCAGATATCTGGCACACATGAAATGTGTATTGCAATCTTTTTGTTGTGATGTGCTGTGTTGCTGCACGTAGGCACTGTTTCTCATTACTTTGTCTCGGTCACACTGTCCTCCCAACTGATAATCAATATCCTCTTGCATAGCACGCACATATCCTACTTTGGTTATGATCCAACTGTCAGGGTCACAGGGGAGTGCTGGATTGACACTGGCTTGTACATTGTGTTTATACCGTCTCATGATCCATTGCTTCTCCGGAGGTCTCTCAATGCAATATGCCTATGACATACACAGTTGCTTCACTTTACCCTATATTGTGTGAAGCGCTTTTGAGATGCCCTCCCAATGTAAAAGGCACTAAATCAAATTTAAGGATTATTACAACAAACAACAACAACCGCTTGAATTTATACAGCACCCTTCACACAGGTAGCATCCTGGAGAGCTTCAAAGTGGCAGAGTCTGATAATGAGCCGGGGGAGAGGGAGTGGGGAGGTGACTGTAAGCACAATCCAAAAGAAGGTGTTTAGGCAGGATTTGAAAGTGGGGAGGGAAGGGGCAAGGCAGAGGGATTGAGAGAGCCAGCCAAACGGAGGCAGCGGATGGGGGAGTCAGGGTAAGCAAATTATTGTACTAATATAAGAGTTTGAAATAGAGGGGGTTGGCTGGAGAGTAAGGGAGGGGCATTAGGCTGAGTGGAGGCTCATTTGGAGTATAAACAGTGGCATGGATTAATTGAATGGCCTGCTTCGTTGCAGTAGACTCTTATCTAATTCTATGCAAGAGTGAAGCTCAGATT